CCTGCCAGTTACTTGGTGTCTCACATGACTGCCAAAGTTTCACTCTTACTCTCTGTTTCTTAATCCTGCAACTTCCAGCCTGCTATGGTATTTCATTTTTTCAGTCTTTTCAAAGATTTTTTTCAATCTGTTTCAAAGACACTGTTACAGTGAATGAGCTGGCACATAAATCTGGTTAAAAAATTCTAGGTTTAAACTGATGAGTACATTTAAAGGATTATCTTTATTGATTATCTTTATTCCCACCATTTAGAGCTCTTTTCTATAAGTTCTTTAGAGCTCTGATTATGTCATGACTGACTGATGGCTAATCCTGCAAAAAGGAAGAGTTTTCACTTTCTTTGAAAGAAGAGGCCAAATGGAGGCAGTTTCTTTTGCACTAAAATTTCAAAATTTTTCTGGTTTGTTTTAATTTTATGAAAAGCATATGAAGTCTATGAGAAATACTGTACAAGTTATTAATAACTTTAGGTGGGCTCTGTTTTGTAGAGCAAAGTTCAAAAGAGTAACACTAGTATAAACAGCTCTCTCATTCTCTCTTTTCTTTGTAATACTTCACCAAGATGATGTCTGGGGTAAGGTGTGGCCATTTCTAGGCATAATGGTTCTTCTAGATTTTCCTTGGGTTTTGTGTGTTTTCAGGAATATGTTTTTATTGCCTAGTACTGAAATTGCTAGTTGGAGGAGCTTGTGACATGTAGTTTTAATTTAGTGTTCCAGCTTTTGTAGTACTTCTTGTTCACTTCATAAACCTTAACTGCTTCTCCAGTAAAAGTTTGCCTTGTATGACCAAGGCAGGAGAAGGAGCTCACCAGCTTCATGCCCTGCTCCTCTGTCCAGCCTTCCTTACTGTCCCAGCCCAACAACGTAACTGAGACATTCCTTTGGGAAAAGGTTAACTTGGATTCCTGCAATCCCAGCAATTTCACACAGTTCCTCTTATGTAACAATCATAAATGTACTAGACAAGATGGTCTGATAAGGAAGTCTACTGGAATTCTTCTTCATTGCATCTCAAATCAGGAATGATGACTGTTCAGCTGATGGCAGCATTGCTTGTTTAAGTTCCTGGTTTTAAAGATGGCATAAATGTCACCCAAGAAAGGTAACTGCCAACAAAAAAAGAAGATTGCCCCTCTTGGGAGATGGTAAGAAAGTGGACTGCTTTATTTTCTGATATTTTCCTTTAGCACTTCTGATTTGGAAGATCTGTGTTTCTAATACATCAGGAATTGAAACCAGTCACCAGAAACAAAGCTTGAAATGCCATTTCATAGTGGAAGACTTAACAGTTGTTCAGTGTTCCCATTTTAAGGAATAGTTTCAAAAAGCAAAGCCTGAGGGTTAAAACAAGCTCTTTTACCTCTTTTTACATATGATCCAAGAATCTAAGTCACTCAGGAAACATACCATTCTGCAAGTGTCTTATTTTCTTTCCACAGAATTTCAAAAGCCCTGTGGGAAGTGCCATTTATGGAATATAATTGATATGGATGCTCTTCTGAGACTATTTTTGTTGTTATGTTTCAAGATAAAAGCAATCGGGTATTTATAGGAAAAATAAATACATATGCCTTTTGCAATGTGTTGTAGCTGAAAATTAAATATTTTTCTACTCAAATTTTGGCATATTTCCTGGAATCACTGAGCTTTCAGTAACATTTTTAGTTAATATTCTGCAGCCTACTGTTGTATTCACTGCAGCTGACGTGAGCTCAGAGAGTTTGTCTTTATTTAACCTTAGAGAGGAATCCCAGGCTTGCTCTGTAGTCGGCAGAGCTGTTGGGAAGGATCTGCTCTGGACCGCAGTGGAAAGAGTACGGACAAGGTCCCACTCTGAATCATGTCCGCTACAACCTTACTCCATTGGTGATACTGAAAATCCTGCAAAACAAGTGAAGTGAAGTTAGCCTTTGTCAAACTGATTAATATTTTCTGTCATTATCCATCCCTTTCCTTCTCTGTCTAATATCTTGATGAATCCTGTTGCTTAAGTCCTGCATCGCGCTGCTTCTCGTGATGTTTGAAGTTGAGGGCACTGATTAGGACAATTTTTTTACCTGTAAAATACATATATCTGTGTAGAGGGTGTGAAAAAACATATAAAACTCCAATGAGAGTAAACATTCTGTATCACCTTTGCTCTCTGGAGACAACTGCATTGGGAGGGGCAGGGGGGGAAGATGCTTCAGATAAAAGTCAGAGCTTTTAAAGACGCTGATTCTGATTCTCTGCTCCATTACACATTTTTCACACTGATGTACTTCCACAGGGCTGCTTCATCTCATTCTTGTTAGCTACTAACAAGTAAGAAGAATCTAAATGACGTGTGGCATTAGGACAGAGGAACAGAGAACAGCAAACCTTTCAGTTTGATTGGTAATCTTACAGTTACTTGTTTAGAATAATTTAACTGATGAGCTTGACTATTACTCAGCTAATTATTACTAAGTACAGTTTTAAGATAGTAATTACCCTCAAAAGTTAGTATTTCCTATGTTAGCCGTTAGTATTGGAGGTAACCTTAATGTTAGCAATATTTATGCCAGGAAATAAATGCTTGTCTTTATTTGCCAGTAAATAATGGCACTGAAATTACATGAAATATTATGTATTGATTTCTCTGGATTCAAGTCTCTATAACTACCTTATGTCATTAGTGTTTGTTTTCCCCCCACATGAAGGAACAAGGTTAAGGCCAACTTGATGAAGTAGCACCACTCCAGTGCTAGATTCATTATTTGAGTGTGTGAAAATTCTTGAAAATGTGTAGCTTATCAAACTGAGCCTGGTTTCAGTTGTAGATTTTACTAATAGTGGAAGGAAATTTCCATTGTTAGAAAAATCTGGAGGCCTTCTCTCATGCTGATTTCTCTGAAAATGAAGAAGTGGGATACTGGTCCATGATAGAATGTATAATCAGCCTGAATCACAGTGAAGATATGTAGGGGTTGATTTACAGCCAGTATCTGCAAAGTAAGCTGCAGGGCTCAGTTTGCAAACACTATTGTGAACCAAACCCTGCGGGGTTCAGTTTGCAAACACTATTGTGAACCAGACCCTGCAGGGCTTGCTGAGCTCCAGTTACTATTACTGCTCCTGGTACAGCTTATTATCCTGTCACAGAAGATGTAAGAAAATCCATCTCTCCCCTTTAAATGTGATAAACCTTTGTCACCTACAATGCAATTAATGTTAAAAATAGAAGAGTGCTGATGATAAGATTGTGACTTGCAGGCAATGAACCATTGTCCAAGTACAGGAGACTTATCTGGAGGGCCAGTCAGCCTACACCGTTTGCTGTCAGTTTGCTGATTGCCATTTCTCTCCGGGTTTGATGAAATATTCATGTCTTTGCTCTGCTCTCTGCAAGCACTATTGATTTCTTGTATAAACGCAGCTATATTTAGTCTAGACAAATGGAATGTGGATTGCTGCTGAATAAATGGGATGAAAGGCTGGGGGTTTGCCTGTATGTCTCTCTTGGTCGGTAGCAATTATTTATAATCAAGTGTAGTTTTTGTAAGTTAAAGGTGATTTTTTATAATTTGTTTCAGAATAAAAGTAAGCACTTCGACTCAATTATTCTGTTGGGATAGAGGGTTAAGAAGGCAAGTTCCACTTTGAGGTTTCCAATCATAGTTACTAGGATTTTTTTTAAAAAGGGAGCCAGAAAATTGTATATTTTCAGAATTTTGAGAAGAAAAAAGTATGATCAGTAGAAGAGATTTTATACCTTTTGTTTTTACAAATTCTTTTACTAATAGATTTGATCATACAGTTAGAATTCAGTTCTTTCCATTTGCTGCAGTTTCAACTTTTACAGCTTCAATTTTGCTGCTTCTGCTTGCTAAAATATTTCTGTTTTATTTGGTTTTCTCCTTGAAAACAAGTACAGATGAAGCAGAGAAAAAGGAGAAAATATGTTTTAAATCTTGTTCCAGAGTCATTTCCGACAACATGTTTGTTTTCAATTAATAATCTTATTTTCCAATGAAGATAGGGGAGGAAGAGAAACTGGAGAGAATGTGTTTGTGTTCCACTGTCCTCTCGTGGATGGAATCAGAACTGCTGAGCTTTAGCAGAGACCTTCAGCTGCTATTTATTTTTCTCTTGTAGAAATGTTACTTGCTAGTTTTTTTGTTCTTCTGCAACAGGTAAAATTACATTCAGTCACTTCACTTAATGTGAAAACCAAAGCTATACAAGTATTGTAGTGAAAATTATCAAATCTCTCTCCCTTCTGCTGCTTTTTAGTCCCTTCTATTTAAATTAGGAGATAGAAAAATAAGAATTCTTCATTAAGTACTTCAATGCTGGATTAACAATACATAACGTAGCTAGAAAAAGTTGGAATAATTCAAGATGTTTTCATTTTCTTACAAGCCACATATAGTGTATTATGTCTAATCCACTTCAAGCATGGTGGTCATTTTTCCAAAAGCTGTATTAAAACTTGTTTTGTGTGTGAAATTATTTTCCTGTAATGTTATATGTATTATTCCTCTGTGTTTGCCAGGTGTATTTTTATGCAGTAGGTATGTGTAAAACCAGCCTTAAAAAATCTACACACTAGTTTTGAAAAATGTCTTGCAATACAGTGAGAATGGCAATGCCTTCCTCTTATGCTGAGGAAGTGCCCTGAGTGTTTATTGTGTAGTATTAATAGTGCCTAGGAGATTCTAATGAAGTACGACTCCACTAGGCTGTGACATGGTTTTAGAACAGGGTTCCTGGTTAGTCTGTTTAGCAGAATATTAATCTGTGAGTATTTTAACAGGGAATGGAAAGAAAGTGCTAAATAATTTGTAAAATCTCCAGTCACTGGTAGGAATGTCTAAAGTTTGCATACAGCATAAGTTGCATTAATGTTTTGAAAGGCCTGTATATTGAATAAGTCTTTGAGTGAAATTGGTCTTTTTCCTGGTAGGAATGATCTCTATTCTCCTTCTCCAGTTATATTTAATATATATATATGTTTTGTTGTTTTCTTCCCCCAGTGGATGTAAAGTCAGAGGTTCCCGTGGGGTTAGAGCCTATCTCACCATTAGACTTGCGAACTGATCTCAGGATGATGGTTCCCATGGTGGACCCAATTATGCGTGAAAAGCAGCTACAGCAGGAACTACTCCTGATCCAGCAGCAGCAGCAAATTCAGAAACAACTGCTGATTGCAGAGTTTCAGAAGCAGCATGAAAACCTGACCCGCCAGCATCAGGCCCAGCTCCAGGAGCACATAAAGGTAGCAACATTTTTCATTTATCCCTCACTTTATCTGCAAACTGAATATCCTTAGGCAGACATGAAAAGGGAACATACCTGAAAGGTTTGATGTGACTGAGAGGTGGTTTTTGAGTGCTTCTTTCTCTGTACTGGGGTGATAAATGCCTTTGCAAGCCAAACTCCTAGCACCTCTCAGTGACTTGCTAGCAGCAGACCAAGGCAGTACTATGAGGGTCATCAAGCTCATGAAGCTACCACAACCACAAAAAATCAAACTACCTATTTTACAACCTGAATTTTCAGCCAGACTTCAATATGGCTGTCTTTTCGATATGTGCAGTTTTTAGTATATTAAAGACTTTTTGGGGGCTACTGTGTGAGTTTGTGACAAAAAATCAAATACAGGCAAGTGCATAGTATTTGCATTTGGATAATGGAGGCAGGCCCTGAAAGTGTCATGTTTTCACTCTTCTCTGATCTGCCTCATAGAATATAAAAGGGAAATTATTTATGGGATTGCGAGCGCTATGGTAGGCTTACTATAATGGATTTTGACTGGGAATTTATGATCTTGCCTTTTTTTCATTTTTCCTTCTTATCTACTTGCCATTATGCTGCAGTGCTAAGCTTCCACCGTGTGGGGCAGCCAGAGCTGGGTGATGCACAGGCAAAAAACACTGTGCAGTTTCCAGGCATCTTTGCTGAAAGAGGAAGAAGTGAAACCAGAGCAGCAGGCTGCTTCCTGACATTAGAGTTCATTTTAGTGACAGCCATATCACTATCCCGCATAATGCAGCATATCCATTCATATCCAGCATAATGCACTACCCTGCTTAAAAGACTGGGGAAAACCAGTTAAGAGATGAAAAGAAGTGTAAGCACAAAAGCAAGCACCAATCCACAGATACTCAAGGGAGTTGTTTTAACCAAGACTGACCTAGAAAACAGTGCAAACTGCACTTTCTCATGTCTTTTTGTTCTGTGCAAGTTACAACAGGAACTCCTAGCCATTAAACAACAGCAAGAACTCCTTGAAAAAGAGCAGAAACTGGAGCAGCAAAGACAAGAGCAGGAACTGGAGAGGCATCGCAGGGAGCAACAGCTTCCTCCCCTCCGAGGCAAAGAAAGAGGACGAGAAAGTAAGAACCAATGTACCATGAATCCTAATAAGAAATTAATCTATTCCCCTTTGCATTCTCCCAGCCAAAATGGACTATGAACAGGAACCTGAGGGAAGCCTATTACCGTGTGAAATACGCAGCTTGACAAGTCAAGTCTGTGCTTGGAGAAGGGCAGGGCCACCCACTGCACCCACAGAAACATTTCTGTTTTGTGTGCAGACTTGGAGGACCAGTGGAAAGCACAGTTTCACAGACCTGTGTATATGCTTCTCAAGAATCTAGCTCTTTTTATAAAAAATGAGGGAATTTGAAAGCCTAAAGCTTCATATGAGAACTTTTTTCTGAAGAGCCTATTTCTCAATACAGAAAGCACTATAAAAGAGCAAAAAATCAAATTGCTTGCTGATTAACTTATTTGAGCATTGCATCAAGATTGAAAATACAATGAAATATCTAATGATTTGGATGAGACTTCTGAATGCTTTTGCTAGTACTTTTACTTTTTTCAAACTGCTTGTCTTTGTTCTTGATGCCATTTCATGAAGCCCAACCAAGAGCTATTTGTAGCTCATATATAGTTTTAAGGAAAAAAAAACCAGCTATAAAGGGTCGGTGGGATTTGGTGCTCACTAGAGGGAGACAGATACAAATAGTTCTCCTTGGTGAGGCCAGTCTAAAAATCAGGTTGAAGTACAGTGTGAAGGTATTCAAAATGAAGCTGCCACAAACAGATACTGTTACCCTAAATGAGCACAAGAACTAACTGACAAAGACCAAAGCAGAAAGGAGCCTGGTTTTTTTTTTTCTTGGGTGGAAAAATGTATCAGTTCAACAGTTATAAAGTGTCCATGGTTCTTCCAGTACTTTGATGAACAATGAGCCCATAAAAACATCACCAGCATATTGACCCAGAAGTGTGAGGGTGGTAGAAACTGCAGGAACAAAAGGTTACTCCGAGTGGTATGAAAAATCAGCCTCTCCATAAACAGTTGGGCTTTATTAGTGCTCCTGCCAGAGGAAGAGTGGACATGTGAACTCAATGGTTCTCTTCTCAATTTGACTTGCTGTTCAGCATGTAGGAGCCAGCCAAGCAGCTTGTGACACCTCTGGGCCCAGCCCCAGCCCCAGTGTTGGTTGTTCCTGATGTTCTACTTAATGAGTAGAGAAAGGAAGGAAGGTTCAGGAAAGGGATTTAGGGTGTGAAGCCTAGGGGTAGTAGAGGTATTTTATGGGAACTGGGTCACAGGGGGACATGTGCACCAGCTAGCTGTGGTGTATCAGGGTTGGGTTACCAAATATATGGAGTATCAAGTATACCTTACTGCTTCTACTTTCAAAGAAATGGGTTTTCTTCCCCCTTTTTTTTTTCTTTTTTTTGTCACTGATTGTGGGAAACCAAAAGATTTTTCTTTTTCATACTTTTTTTAAAAAATGAAGAGTATTGTGGCTGTGCATAAAGAAGCATGTCCTGTGCTGCAAGTAGGAGTTGGAAGTTTAACCGTACATTGACATGCTCTACTTCTTGTTCTGTATTGAGTTAGCCACCAAGAGAGGTCAAAATACACTATCTTCTGTCTTCCAGACATTATGGGTACAGGCTCTTAAGGGGCTTCAGTAAAAAGTCTCACTGCTGACTGTTTCTGCAGTGTTCTGTTCATAATCAAGACAGTGTTTAGAGGAGTTTGCTGTGTTGTTACTATTACTTTACAAAAAGAAAAAACCATTCTTTACTGCAAACTCAAAGTGACCTTTTGTCACTGTCTTTTTAGTTCTATCCTTGGTTTAGTATTTGGGAATTATTAGGAAATAATTTAAATTCTTTAGATACATCTGGCCCTGGATAAATGGCCTCCTCTACTGTTGAAATATTCCTTATGACTTCACTGGAGTTTGGGATTATGGCCAATTTAAGGCTTCAACAGACAAACATATACTCCAAATGTTATTTTATTTTGACTGATTTCCACCACTATTTTTTATAGTGTACAACACTTCCAGCAACAAGACACAGTCTCTGTTTAGGGTTTTGTTTTCTTTAAAAATGTAATTTTTTTCGAGATAAGATACATTTAATTCTGTGTGTCTCAGGGGCAGTGGCCAGTACAGAAGTGAAGCAGAAACTTCAGGAGTTCCTGTTGAGTAAATCGGCAACAAAAGACTCTCCGGCAAATGGGAAGAATCATTCCATGAACCGCCACCCCAAGCTCTGGTACACGTATGTTCAGTATTAAGCTGCTTCCTTGCCTTGTTGAGATGTCAGTTAAAACTTGCCAGAATGCTTTTGCAGCAGGGTTATTGAGCCTCTGCCTCCAGAGCAAGACAGGAGTTTAACCAAAAAATCAGCAAAAAGCCATAAGTGTTATATTTCTGGTTAAACTGAGCACTCAGTGTTCTGTGATGAGAAGAGAGCTACACAGAACAAGATTCTTTTTTATTTCAGCTGCTTCATCTTTTGATGCTATCACAAATACCTGTAATTTTTCCAAGTATCTTCAAATTTTACAGTTAGAACAACTTTGTATTTGACTTATTTGGATTTAGAATCAATCACAAAACTTATTTCTTCTTGAAGAGATGCTGCTTTGATTCCAATGAAGTTCCTTGAATGGCATAAGTAACTCAATGGGATTTTGAGAAAGATAGTGGTCGTTTAATTTTTCTTATTGTGATGGATTTTAGTGTCTGAAACCACATATTCTTTTCATGCCTTGGCCTTGATAAGAATCTACTTAGACCTTCAGGCAAGCGATTTTGTTGTCCTGCAGTGGGCCTATTAACGTTTTAAGAGTTTACAGTTTTGCAGTTTTTATTCTTCTCCCCCCTTTCTTTTTTTAACTTATTAGTTCCTTTTTGACTGCCCTATTGCAACAGACACATAAGTCAATCCTACAAAATGAACTCTGGCTACATTTCTGAAAGGCTTCAATGTTATGCCTAAATTGACCTTCAATAGGACAAATTGAAATGCATATGGTATACTAGATTTCCATCTTGTGTTTGGTCTTTTTGAAAAGGATTACTGAAGGCCTGCCCATGAAGTTTCCACTGAGCTAATCAGAGCACTGTGGTATCATGATTTAATGTATTGTTACATTGGTTTTGGTGCAGATACAGTGCTTACCTAATTTTTTTCTTCCACATAATGTGTAAAATTCACTTGAATATGTAAGTTTTCTGGACTAATAATCTGAGCTTAGTTCTGAGTCTTCAGATGAGTGGGAACGAGGAGCTTTGCAGAGCATGCCTTCAGCTACACTGCAGAAAGTAGTCCTTCCTCTCATGGTAGTGCCCCTTTTGACAGAGACATGGTATTAACTACATTGTGTTAGAAAGACAGGGAGAGTCTGTAAAAGACCAAGTAAAATTATGTTTTGATAAACAAAAGTTTGAAAGTTTCCCTTCTGTCCCTCTCTCCCCAACTCTAAATAAAAAAATCAACCAAAAAAACCAAAAAACAACAAAACCAACCAAACAAAAAACCTACCAACCCCTTGCAAACTGTGCAATTTCTATGCAATTTGCAGTTTCTGCGTTCAGAAAGATCTGCCCACACTATTTCTTTCATCCAGCAGTTGTCAGAAAACACTCTTCAGCAGGGAACTTCTCTGCTGGCATGAGTGCTATGTGCTTCAGAGTGGTGTGCTCACAAAACTTACAGGTTGAACTTAAATGCAAGATTTTATCTACCTTGTACACTAAATAGTTTATTTGTATTTTTTCACAGATAATAATAATTTAGTATGTCTGGGTAATTTTACACAAGCCCCTTCCGTCCTGAAATTCCCCCACATTTTGATAGGGGAGGCTTGATCAACACATCTATTTGTACATGATAAGACTTAAATGGCTTTAGCTGTGTGTCAGCAGATTCATATTAAAATGCAACCATCTGAAATGATCAATTCCCCAGACTGGTGACAGATCCTGTCTGTAGGTCAATATGACTCTTATCCTATGTGACTTTTATAATGAGTGCAAAAAGTGCGTTCTTGGGAATCCCAAGGAGTTCCAAAACTTACTGTAAGAGTGAAATTGGTTACATGAGCCTGTGGTTTGTGCACACTTACACGAATGAGAACATAAACACAGCTGAGACATATGTACAACATGTGTAGATAGTTACTGCTGGTCACCTCAGTGACTGCTAATTTGTGACCTCTCTGTGTCTGCTGCAGGGCTGCCCACCATACCTCACTGGATCAAAGCTCTCCACCCCTGAGCGGGGCCTCACCACCATACAAATACACTTTACCAGGAGCACAGGATGCCAAGGATGATTTTCCACTTCGTAAAACGGGTGAGTTAGCATAGTTTATTCGAACCCCTTGCCCAGCAGTTCTCCCACCCTTTATTTCAACCAGGCTATCCATCAGCAAGGCATATACCATATTCCACAAATCCTATTTGGGATGATACTATGGGTAAGTTCAAAGATCCTGACTGCATCTTTACAAGGTCACACTGGCCACATGGTATCAAGAGTCAGTGTTTCTCAGTGCTAACAGCTAGTGCAAGCTTCAGTCCTGATAAATTCAGTTTCTAAACAGACCACAATTTCAGGGACGTATATTTTCTTTGTCTCAGTATTACTTCTGGCTTTAGTAACTCTCTCTGTCTTGCTTGGTACATGAAGTATCTATCTCCAGACAGTTTTCTGCCATTAGACAGTGTTTTTTCAGGGCATTTTCGGGGAAAATCATGGAAAGAGGAGGAATTGGATTAATATTATATTTTGTGTCATTGGTTGTCAAAGTCTGTATACATATGTGCATATACACACATTTGCATGTCTTCTTATGCATAAGAATGTGTAATGTTTTACAATGTTCTTTTGAAGGTTTCTAAATATTTTAGAAGATTTAGCAATTAAATGTTTTGTATTGACAGCAGGTGAACTGTAGACTTGACGTTTTTGCACCATAAAGCAAGCTAGAAGGATGGTGGTGGAGTCCATGAGGCTGTTGCCTCAGGTCCTTGGTGCAGTGACTGGTATCCAGGAATGCAGAGAGACACTCAGAGGAGGGGGGGAAAAAGGAAAAGAAAACATTAGATCGCTTATTGCATGGGTCTGCTGTTGAGTGATATAGTTACATTCAGAGAGAAAGTCTGACCCCCTACTGTGCTAACAGCCTTTGAATGTGATTTAGCCACTGGGAGATTGAAAACTAACTGCAAAACTGGTACCGACTTGAAAAGAAGTGGCATTTGGAACCAGCATTCAGAAAGAAAATCCAATCTGTATCTAATATTTTGGGGCACACCCTCTAAGCTCATATTATTTCCCCAAATATTTTCAAAGGAACGAAAGCATGAAAAGCAAAATGCTAATTTATTCTAGCTGAATTACCCTTTTTACAATATGGTGGCAATATAACAAGATTCTATAAAGTCTTGTTTGGGCTGTTCATCACAATAAGCCCTTATGTGGTTCTCTGCTTAATACCACTGTACAACATATATTTTCTGTGCCAATAGACTATACATTTTCATGTTTTTAAACAAAAGTGTATCTACATCTTCTAAATGCTGTGAATTCATCTACATGTTTTTAAATGCAAGCTTTTTCTTCCATGTGTATATATCTTAAATGTTATGATAGATATTTATGATGTGTCAGACTGTTGATCTGTAAAACAAAACATTTTCAAACATTGTAACAGTAAAGTTCTCGTGCAGCTGCTAATACTTTTATATCTCTGTGGGGGTTTCAAAATATTCCTTAATTCAATTCCCATTGTCTGCATAAGAGGACTATAATATAATTAAATCCAGATGTTTTCTATATGTTATTCCAAATATTTGGGCATGCAGTGCATCGGTTCCAAAATTGAACAAAGGACATGATGACTCTCTGAAAAGATATCTACAGAATAAATAGACAAATACTAATATAATCATTAGTATAGCCATTTCTATGACATTTACATAGCAATTCTGATAAGCAAATATAAATGAAGTATACAGCATGTTGTATGTTACCAGTGGAGGATATTTGATAGCTCTCCACATCCGTGAAAATAGCAACTGTTAAATATCCTGTTTACACATCCAGTCTCTCTGTGTACTGGAGTTGTTTCATTCCAGCCTTCAGCAACATCCCCACAAAGGTTTCAATGATTGTTCATCAGGTTGAGAGTAAAAGCAACAGGAACCAGATCAACACAAGTCAAATGACCCTAAACTGATCTGGGTGGTTATAGGGCCATCCTCCAGGCAGAGGGGACATTGTGGAGCCTGTGTCATCCTCATGGGACCTTACCAGACAAAGATGTCCCATGAACACTCGTGTATATGGACAGGCTGTAAGCCTAAGAAATCTGACCTTTGCCATGAGGGGTGAACCTCTTTTCCTTCCCTTTAGGCTATGAACGCTTATTGCCACTGGCTCCTGGTATACCCTCTGTGGTGCTGAACCTGCGTGAAGTCAGCAATTCATATGAAAGCAGACTTCACATTCCTTTCAGTCTCAAGAAAGGAATACCTGTTGTGGGTTTTAATCACAACTTTGTTTTGCTTTTTATATTATTTTTTTTTCAATATTTAAAGTATATAATACAGAGGTATCTTTCTCTTCTCCAACTTTAATATTATGCTCTGGAAAATAATTCTGATTGAATTAGCTACTCTGAGATCAGATTTAATGGGCAGCAAAACTGAATGATTCTCTCCTGACATCCTAATGTGTTTTTCAGTGCTAAGGGAACACCAAGTGTCACACAGGCATTGTAAATCATGAGTCTTGCTTGCTCACTTTCTTGTTCAGCAATCCATTTAATCTTTGCTTAATTAGTCCTAAAGTGGCATCTCCTTATTAATCTTTTAAAAATTAATTCTGAGAGTATAGTAAAGAGGAAAATATTCTCTGCAGCTTTTAATCTTCTGGCATCTAGAATAATGGGATGCATAGGGAAAGACGTAAGTCTTGCTCTTTCTATGTTTATAAATAGGTACCAGAGTTAACATCCTAGTGCAGTGACTATGGTTACTCAACAACTCTCAGCCTTGTGGATTGTTCCTTTCTGTACAAGATAGAGCAGAAGTTGTCAGCAGGGGGCTTCACACAGTTTAGCTGCACGGAGGATTGGGACTGTCCTAAGGGCTAGAGGCCAGGATATGCAACTCTTTGCACAGCTGCATTCAGATGCTCAGATGACAGACTTTGAAAAAAGCAGAGCAAGAGGAGCTATTGCTTCATTGGAGACATAAATGTACCATAAGGAGAAGCTACACATCTGTAGCTAAGAGCAGAATTTAGTCTAAACAGTGTAAGATCAAAATTTAAAAATCCCAGAAAAAACTTCCACCATTGATACCAGTCATAGATGTGTTTTCTACAGAGCACCCAAAAGCCTGAGCAGCACATGGCTCATTAACTTTCAATGAGACTAATGCATCTAAATTACCCAGAGAGGTTTGAAAATTCCTCCCTATTACTGAACATTTTTGAAATTCATACTGACTGTTTTAAGAGCTCTGATGGGAGCTGTGCACTTTTGAAGACCTGATCATTTAATATGGAGAACTTTTGATTGCTGAGGTCCTTTATTCTATGTCTATCTGTCCAGGACAATATTACCTGTTTTATGAGATTATGGTAAAACTAACAAAAAATATAGCGAGCAACATGAGTTTGGCAAGGTAGAGGATCTTTTGAAAGAATTTTTTTTTTTTTTACTTTGTTGAAATAAATGCATAAGTTCTCGGAAATGACCCTAACATTTGCATTTTCTTCAGTCTCTAAAATTTCACTTTTTGTGTGCTAGTGTTGATATAAACCAGCAAAAGCTAGTAAGTTCCAATAAAGTTTAGCTCTCTTGCCAAAGCTGCATACTTTTTAAAAATGTTGCTGTAGGTGGAATTTCTGCATTTTGTTTCATGTTTTGGCTTTTGTTGGAAGAAATTCCTGGGGACATCATCATATCAAGTATTAACTGTTTTTTCTTTCCTGAGTTTAGCACAATCATGGCAGAACTGGAATGTCAATCAGTATTTCTATTTATTTTGGTTTTGTGCCAGTTGAATCTTTCCTTGCAGATGGAGTTCTAAGCTTTTGACTTGCATTTTGCTTAGGGATCTGAAGATCTCTCACAATAGTACAATTTGAGAAGATGTTTGTAGCTCACTTTCCAAAAATTGGAAGCACGCTCAATGGAAACATAGCATGGGGTTATTTAAATAGCAAATAGTACAAGGTTCTTGCTTGGACAGGAGAAATTGTGTAATTTCATACAGGAAAAAAAGAGGAGATGAAGGATTGTTTAATACCACGATGAAAGAGAGGAAGAGGGCTGTACTGCACAGCCATGAAGATCACTCTGTAAAAACCATATTAAGTTAACCTGATTAGGCAGTAGAATAACAGTGTAGCTCTTGTGTAATGAGAGTGAAAGATTCCTGAATGAGAACTCAGCAGATGTAATTTTTTAAGAAAAGAAATTAATTAGAATATTTCCTTACAATTCTTTCTGCACTTATTGACTCAGTAATTTACTGGAGCAGTTGAAACAGATAAGAAAAACATTTCGTGTGTGAAAGTTTTTCTGCCTTCCCCTTTTGTGCCACGAAATTTTATTTCTGTTTGCATTTTCTAGGAAAACGCTATTCTGTGAAGTAACTGTATATGAAAAAGCTGGATTTCTTTTGGTCTTCAGTTTAAAAAAATGTCTTAGAGTATCCCAAACCCTCAATTACCATGCCTGCCAGAATGAAGAAGTCAAGCTCAGTGGAGAGAAGTGTTATTTTTCTCTGAATTTATGAGTGAGCACAATAAATGGGAGAGGCACTTTGTTTATTGAAGCAGGGAAACCAGACAAACATGTTATGATTCTCCTAATTTTATCTTATTTTTCAGGATGCTAAGCATTTCTGCCTCTCAGAGTCCTTGTTTTCCTGGGTTAGTTAGTCTCAACAAATTTGGACTAGTTAATGTGCCCAAAAGAAATCATCAGTGCTTATCAAAATGAGAAGGGATATAAAAAGTACCCTGATCTTGACTCCTTTTCCCATTAACCACCAGACATTTTTAGCCTTCCCAAATTCATTGTCAATAACTCGAGAGAATGTGATGAGTAGTAAGAGGTTTTAGAAGAAGAAACTTTCACTTGAAATTGAGGAGTGAATCTGAAGCAAACTATTGTTAACAGCTTTCGGATTCACGTAATGAACAGGCCAAAACAGCATTCAGTCCATGGGAGCCAGCAGCTCCAAGGAAATGTAATATTGTTGTAGCTACTGTGCTGGGCTGCAGTCATCTGGGCCTGTCAGAGCTCTGCAGCCTCCTAAGCTGGGGCTGAGGAG